TCAATTTCTAGGGCTTTTGGTTGATTCCAGATCCCTTTCTGCTGGAAGGAAAACAAAAAAAGAATAAAGTAAAGAAGTTTTGGTTCTTCAAAGAAAAACATTTTGTATCATAAGAAAGTTAATATGTGTTTTGGGTCTTCTTACTTCTGCTATCCCAGCAGTAAGATGGGCAAAGGCAGAGATCAGACGTCTTCAATGGAACATACTTTCCAATTGGTGCATTTCAGAGGTAGTAATAAAACGAGAAAATTGGTGGAAGAAATAAGACAACCTTACCAAGGGTCTACATTTCATGCAAAGAAATTGCACTACCATCACCACGGATGTTTCCCTAACAGGTTGGGGTGCTCACCTAGAATCACAATTTCAACAAGGCAAATTGTCTGCAAGAGAAGCAGCCCAATCATCAAATTTCAGAGAAATAAAGGCAGTCATGAATGCCCTGTTGGCCTTCAAACCAATTCTCTCCAAACAAGCGGTAAGAATACAGTCTGACAGTGCCACCACAGTAACCTACCTAAATCGACAAGGAGATACAAAGTGGCTATCACTTAAAAGACTGTGAGATCAGATCATGTCATGGACACAGGAAGAATTGGAATACCTTTCTGCAACACACATCATAGGATCACAAAAAAATCATTGCAGACGATCTAAGCAGACCGCGTTGGACTCTCCATTCACTCATGTTCTCAAAGTTAGTAAATCGGTTTGGACTTCCAGAAATAGATATCATTGCCACAAGAAATAACACAAATGTGTTAGCATTTGCATCCATCCTGAAACAGGACCATCCACACTTCCTGGGTGGGCTTTTAATAACATAGAACTTCAAGATAGCATATTGTTTTCCCAGCAGTAGGTTTGATCGCTCGAATAATTCAAAAGGTCAGATCAGCCAAAGCAAGAATTCTGGAGATTATACCTTACCGGCCAAACATGAGAAATAACAGTAGGTACTTCGAATTTAGAAAACACACGTTTCAGCTTTAAGCCATTTCCTCGTTCAACATTTGGAATCTAACATCCTAAAATGTAGATTTAAAAAAACAAAAAACAGTTTTTTCCTCAAATGTCCTCCGCAACTTTCTTCTTTTTCATCATAGGATTTGTCAGTGGTTCTGAAGACTATGTGTGGACCTCCTTTTAAACCCTTAGAGGAAGTATTTTTGAAACTTCTGTCCTTTAAAATTGCTTTTTTGGTGGCAATCACTTCTGCAAGAAGGAATGGGAAACTGCTCTATCGTCTTTAACATAATTTACTTTATTTTTCACCAAAATAAAGTGGTATTACAACCAAAACCATCCTTTTTGCCTAAAGTGATCTCGAGGCAGACTATCAATCTTAATTTTTTTTTTTGGACAGGAACAATCATAGGAAGCAGAAAATCTCTTAGATGTTAAAAGAACCTTGGAAATATATTTGCACAGATCAGCAGATTTCAGAATCTCTGATGATCTATTTATCAATTTCTAAGGTTCCTTCAAGGTCAAAGAGGCTTCTTGGCCTAATATCACCAGATGACTTACGGAATCACTCAAGTTAGCTTACGAAGTCGGTAATATTCCCCTCACAGTTCCGGTGAAGGCTCACTCCTCAAGGGCAATGGCTACATCATGGGCAGAAAGATCTGCTGCATCTCTGGAGGATATCTGTAAAGCGGCTACATGGTCTTCGTTCCATACATTCATAAAACATTACAGGCTGGACATATTTTCCTCCTCTGAAGTTGCCGTTGAGCTAAACTGCGATGCACTGTGTGTTCTGACAGCTTTCTATGATGGCCATCGTTACGTTATGAAGCAGTTTGAGTTACAGTAGCTCCTCTGTGTGATCGGACCGGACAGGCTAGCCTTCGCATCAATGAGCCTTGGGCACCCATGACCCTGACGACAGTTCACCGGTAGTCCTTCCTTGCACATTTTTAGGTAGTTACTAACCAATGCATACCAGGAACACCCCACAAGATGAGCCATTTTGGAGATCTTGGCAAAGTAGGTGTCGCCGTTTCCCCTCCCGGCCGCTGGGTGTCGCTGTTTCCCCTCCCGGCCGCTGGGTGTCGCCGTTTCCCCTCCCGGCCGCTGGGTGTCGCTGTTACTCCTCCCGGCCGCTGGGTGTCGCCGTTTCCCCTCCCGGCCGCTGGGTGTCGCTGTGTCGCCGTTTCCCGGCCGCTGGGTGTTGCTGTTTCCCCTCCCGGCCGCTGGGTGTCGCTCTCTCTCTCTGAACTTGCTCTATTCAGTTACTCTGACGCGCGCCTCGCTGGAAGGGACACGTCACTCCTCTCGCTGCAACCAAACCCAGTGACAGCTCACTGGGACCCCGCCCCCTATGACGCGCCCCAGATCTATCCAATAGCAGAGCGAGTCTTTCCGCTTCCCTCCCCCGTCCTGGTTTGTTTGAACCAATCATCGAGCGCCAAATCCGGAACGGAAGTGCCGGCAGCCAATCATTGTGTTAGGCTGTTGAGGGGCGGAGTCCGGCTGTCTGTGGGTTCGGCTGAGCGAAAGTGTGAGGAGTTTAATGGGAGAAGAAGAGAAGAAACGGGGTGAGCGAGCCGGGGGCCACAGGGGGCTGGGGCCACAGGGGGGGTGTGTAAACACAATGGGGGCCTGGGAGCAGCGCCTGTGGGTGCATTTCATAATAAGGGGGATACCCAGGGCGTATTTATAATATAAAATAATCTTGTGGTGCATTATAATAAGGGGACAATCTGTGGGTGCATTATAATAAGGGGGACAATCTGTGGGTGCATTATAATAAGGGGGACAATCTGTGGCATTATAATAAGGGGGACAATCTGTGGGTGCATTATAATAAGTGGGGACAATCTGTGGGTGCATTATAATAAGGGACACCTGTGGTGCATTATAATAAGGGGGGACAATCTGTGGGTGTATTATAATAAGGGGGGACAATCTGTGGGTGCATTATAATAAGGGGGGACAATCTGTGGGTGCATTATAATAAGGGGGGACAATCTGTGGGTGCATTATAATAAGGGGGGACAATCTGTGGGTGCATTATAATAAGGGGGGACAATCTGTGGGTGCATTATAATAAGGGGGCAATCTGTGGGTGCATTATAATAAGGGGGGACAATCTGGCAGGTGCATTATAATAAGGGGGGACAATCGGTGGGTGCATTATAATAAGGGGGGGCAATCTGTGGGTACATTATAAGGGGGCAATCTGTGGGTGCTTTATAATAAGGCGAGCAGATCTGTGGTTACACTATAATAAGGGGGGGCGATCTGTGGGTGTATTATAATAAGAGGGGGTACAGCTCTGTGGGTGCATTATAATAAGGGGGAGGGAGCAACTCTGGGTGCATTATAATAAGGGGCAGCTTTGAAGGTGTGAATTATAATAAGGGGGAGGAAGAGCAGCTCTGGGGTGTATAGGGGGGCGAGGAGCAGCTCTGTGGGTGCATTATAATAAGGGGGAGGGAGAGCAGCTCTGCGGTGTATGGGGGGACCCAAGGAGCAGCTCTAGGGGTATATTATAGTAGCCTGGGGCAGGGGGGCAACTCTGGGTGTGCTTTATAATAAGGGGGAGGGAGCAACTCTGTTTATACATTATAATAAGGGGGCAGCTCTGGGGGTGTGCATTATAATAAGGGGGAGGGAGAGCATCTCTTGGCTGTATAGGGGGGCAAGGAGCAGCTCTGTGGGTGCATAATAAGGGGGAGGGAGAGCAGCTCTGGGGTGTATGGGGGAGGCGAGGAGCAGCTCTGGGGTGTATGGGGGGCGAGGAACAGATCTACGGGTAAGTTATAATAACCCGGGGCAGGGGAGCAACTCTGGGTGTGCATTATAATAAGGGGGGGTGGGGAGAGCAGTTCCAGGAGTGCCTTATAACAAAGGGGAGCAGTTCTGGGGTGTATAAGGGGGGCCCTGGGGAGCATTATAAAAAGGGAGAGAGGGGAAGCTGCTCTCTGGGTGTATTATACTAAAGGGGGCCAAGGTGCAGTTCTGGGAGTGCCATATAATAAGGGGGAAAGACTGTCCGCTATGGTGGTGCATCATAATATGTGGGGGATGGTATCAGCTCTGGGGGTGCATTATTATAAACTGGGGCTGGGGAGCTGCTCTGTGGATGCATTATAATCGCGAAAGGAGTTGGAGCAGCTCTGGGGGTGCATTATAATAAGGGGGGAGGGGAGCAGCTCAGGGGGTGCTTTATAATAAGGGGGGAGTGGGAGTAGTTCTGGTGGTACATTATAATAAGCAGGGAGGGGAGCAGATCTGTGGGTGCATTATAATTTGAGGGAGTCCCGAGGAGCAGGTTTGATAGTGCATTATAATAAGGGGGGAGTGGATCAGCTCTAAGAGTACATTGTAATAAGGGGGACCTCTGTGGGTGCATAATAATAATAAGTGGCAAAGACTGTCAGCTTTGGGGATGCATAATAATAAGGGGTAGCAGCTCTGGTGTGCATTATAATAAGGGGGAAAGACTGTCAGCTTTGGTGGTGCATTGTAATAAGGGGGAAAGACTTATCTGCTTTGGTGGTGCTATAGTAAGGGGCGAGGCATCCTCTGCAGGACCATTATAGTAAGGGGGGCATATCCTATGGTGGTACATTATGATAAGGGGCAGACTTTCAGATCTGGAGTGCAGTGTGATAAAGGGATATTCTATCACTCGTGGAGTATATTACAATCCGACAAACTGTCAGCTGTTTGTTTTTCATTAAGTGTGGACAGTCTGTCATATCTGAGGGTTCATTTTGTAAAGGGGGAAAGACTGTTAGCTCATTGGGTGAATTCTGATAAGGGGGCAGTGTGTCAGCTTTGGGATGCATTTTAATTAGGGGGCAGTCTGTCCGTACACCAGCAGACTATCAGTTTGTGCGATTTAAGGGTGCATTGCACCGAGGGAAGCAGCTGTCTAAGCTCTGCATAGCTGGGGTCCAATTGTTATTAATGTTAAATGTATGTATTGTTTTTTGTGTTTTGCAGGTATTTAGTGTTGTGTCCCCCCATCCCTGTATGTGAAAATGACTAGATTAGGATTCCTGCGACTGTCCTATGAGAAACAGGATACTCTCCTGAAACTGCTCATCCTGTCGATGGCAGCGATTCTCTGTGAGTATAAGTGTGATATTCCAGGGATTATATAAACACAATGTTTTAAAGTTAGGCCTGCATGCTCTGCATTGGGAGCTTGTCTATTTGACTAAATGTGGAAGAGGAATACTGCACTTTGATTGGATTCTGCTTCTCTCTTGTTGATGTGTTTTTTATTTTCTTTTTCTTCACAGCCTTTTCCACCAGGTTATTTTCTGTTTTGAGGTTTGAAAGCGTCATCCATGAGTTTGATCCGTAAGTGCAATTTAACTCTTGTCATATTGCTTGTGTTCGGTGTGTGGTTAAAGTGAAATATTTGCAGTAAAACTGTAATATGTGATATTTAAAATGGATCAAACAGAGTGTGCCAATTTGTTTTTAATGTTGCTTAGTGAAATAGTCTCTCTAAGCAACTTCGATGGAAAAATGCATCTGTAAGAAAGATGAAGATAATATTTTTATGTGCCAGATCACAATTCCTGCAAGAATTGGGAAACACATTTGGAAATAGGATTGCTGTACATTGTCTGTGCATATGGGGGTTCTGAAAGGTCCATGTCCCCCAAAGGAGAGTCTACAGCAAGCTGCACATGTTTGCTGTGCGTCTCTCATACAAAAGAGTAAAAAGCTGGTGTGCAATGAAACTGAAACATTCTGGGACTTCCAATCATCCCCACAAATATTTCTCATTTATTTTTCTCATGTATGATAAATTCATAGTGGGCTATTGTGCAGGTTCTTTGCTCTTTAAATCCCATTAACCTCAGCTGGGCTGTTGGTTTTATGGGATATGTCTAACACTTGTGAGCCTTTGTTTAAAGGTCACAGGGGTTTTGACTCCAAAAGGTACTTTCATTGGTGAACACGTTTTCCTGTGTGTTTCATTATTCATAGACTATTAGAAACAAGGTTAGTACTGCCTTGGATTGTCCATTTTGTTTAAACTCTGTTTGACTTGACAGTTGGCGCTCACCGGTATGTCTCCCAGGACCATATTTGTGGATCTCTGTTTAAATATGGGAAGGCCGGTTGCTTAAATTGAACACTATGGGTACCCAAACCACTTCAGCTCATTGAAGTGATCTAGGTGCAGTGTCTCAGTCCCATTTAGTACATTGCAGTTTTAGAAAAATTGCAATGATTTAAATTTCAGGACTAAGATTGCATCTAGCGGCTGTCAAACAGCAATTACAGGCACTTCCTGGTGGCTAATCGACTTTGGTTATCTGACACACTGTATGAGAATCCCCACAGGAAAGCATTGCAGCAATGCCTGGGGGGTGGGAGGCCAGAGGGAACTATAGTATAAGGAATACAAAGTTATATTCTTTACTCTATTGAATCCCTTTAAACTCAGATATGGGGTTAGTCAGACTAAACATTGAACGTTTTTCCTACTCTAGGTCATCTGGTGATTCTTCTTCCAATTAAAAAAACTCCCCTTTTATGTTGTGTTTTTATATCCTTCATCTTGTGCATCTTACGTTAATCTTTTATAAAAGTTGTGTAAAGGACCTCAATGAAAGGGTCCAAGTGCAGTGCTCCTGTCATTTTAACCCTTCATTGTAATAATTAGTATGTAGGGTTAAATCCACATCTCGTGTCTGCCTTCCTGACAGCCACTAGAGGCTGTACTTGCATATCTCGTCCACCAGTGCTCATCTATGATGGTGAGAGACGTCAGCACTGCAGGTATGCTGACGAAAATAGAGGTTGAGCAAGTGGGTCTAGCTGAGGAGATATGGAAGTTAACATCTGATTTGAAAAAAAATTTTTTATTTTTTTTGCAGGTTGTTTGAGTCACAGTTAGAATTTAATTCCTACATTTCAAAGAATTGAGCAGTGAGGTTAAAGGGATACTATAGTCACCAGAACAACTTCAGCTTAATCTAGTCGTTCTGGTGTCTACAGCCTTTATTTGTTGCATAAATGATCCCAAAGGAAGGGCTGCCTGTCTGGTTTTACAGAGCTTTCTGAACAAGATCAAGGAAGCATGCTTTACCAGTTTTTTTTGGCCTTTGATGTGAAGTTTGTGCTCCCTACCCAGTAAATGAATCACATGTGTGACATAAAACAATCAATTTATTTCTAGGTAGTAATCGCTCAAATGTAGTGTACTGTCACCCAGGGTTAAATAGATGGATGCAAATTTCAGGATCTAGACAGATGGTAAGGGCCCAGCTTGCGTTTATATAATATTAATTTAAAACACAATTTGTTGCATCCAATCTCTGTGGATTTTAGAAATGCAGCAATTTGTAAAAATCCTATGGCTATACGCCCACCTCTTGGAGCAGACATATCAGGAGGAACGTTCAAGACTTATTTTGCAGTCTCGGATGGAGTTGGACGGAACGCTCTCTGTGCTCAGCAGTGCATTGTAATAAGGGGGGAAAGACTTGTCTGATTTGGTGGTGCATTGTAATAAGGGGGGAAAGTCTTGTCTGCTTTGGTGGTGCTATAGTAACGGGGCAAGGCATCCTCTGCAGGACCACAATAGTAAGGGGGGCGTATCCTATGGTGATACATTATGATAAGGGGGCAGACTTTCAGATCTGGAGTGCAGTGTGATAAAGGGATATTCTATTATCCGTGGAGTATATTACAATCGGACAAACTGTCAGCTGTTTGTTTTTCATTAAGTGTGGATAGTCTGTCATATCTGAGGGTTCATTTTGTAAAGGGGGAAAGACTGTTAGCTCATTGGGTGAATTCTGATAAGGGGGCAGTGTGTCAGCTTTGGGATGCATTTTAATTAGGGGGCAGTCTGTCCGTATACTAGCAGACTCAGTTTGTGCGATTTAAAGGGTGCATTGCATGGTTGTTGCACTCAGCCTGGTTACAATCTCGTAAAATGGGCGATGTATAGCACCACATGGAACAGCTCCACTTATCTGGTGGGATGATAGGAGATAAGTTACAATTTCCATAAACCTCCTGATCAAAATAGAATTATGGGATAATGGAAACGCCCTATAGGCCAGAATGAGTGGCTTCTGATTGGTTTAGCCCCTTCCTAGTAAAGGAGTTTTTAGATTTAAAGTGTTGGGTCAGTCCCTGCCTGCTGTGTCCTTTTAATGTTCAGTTTTTGTAAATATACGGTGTCTAAACCTGCAGATCTGCTTTGTCGTTGACTATGTGAGGAGGTGGGGGCTGATTTTGGACAGCCCTGATGAGGAACAGAAAGTTTTTTTTATATAAGCTTCCAAAGGACATTTATCTGTGTATTTGCAAATAATTAGAAGTTCATGACAGCCAAATTCTAATGATCAGTTTGACAGAAATGAATTGCTGTAACTATGTGTTTATTACTGTTCTAGGTATTTCAATTATCGGACCACAAGGTTTCTGACAGAGGAAGGTTTTTACAAATTCCATAACTGGTTTGATGACAGAGCCTGGTATCCACTTGGCAGGATTATCGGGGGTACCATCTATCCAGGTATCTGTTTAATATTATTAAAGCCTTGTTAACACTGAGCACACCTTGTTTGCATAAGCATTAAACATATAAAGTTGTGCATTTAACACATTTTTTTTTAAACCTTTGGGAAAATACTTCTTGTGAACACTTGATTTCCTGGCAAGCTGTTCATGTTAATTTATTTTTTAAGATCCCTGCTTGTGCAGGGCCCACTCATTGTCTGAGGATGTCTCACCAGGTGCATGAAGAGAAGGTGCAATATCTCCCTGGCTGACCCCAGATAATCCAGTTTGACTACTTGCCCTTGGAGGGTACCAAGGCACTGCTGGTATGGGCTGGAGTAGTTACGGTGCTTGGATTGTTCATTTTAAAGGGACACTATAATTACCACAACAACTTTAGCCTAAGAAGCAGTTTTAGTGTATAGATCATGCCACTGCAGTCTGATTGCTCAATTCTCTGCTATTTAGGAATTAAATAACTTAATGCAGCCCTAGGCACAACTTCCTGCATGTGACTTACTCAGCATTTCTAATCCCTTCTTGTAAAGAGTCATCTAATGTTTACACTTCCTTTATTGAGCATTCTGTTAAATTTAGAATGTATTATCTCCTGCTCTGTTGATAGCTTGCTAGACCCTGCAGGAGACTCCTGTATGTAATAAAAGTTCAATTTACAGAGCAGGAGATTAAAACTTTTAAAGTAAGTTACATCTGATTAAAAATGAAACCATTTTTGTCTTCATGCAGGCTGTGTCAGTCACAGCCAGGGGAGGTATGGATAGGGTTGCATGGACAGAAACAAAAGTGATTTAACTCCTATAGAATGTAAGCTTGATTGAGCAGGGTCCTCTTCAACCTATTGTTCCCATAAGTTTTTTGTAATTGTCCTATTTATAGTTAAATCCCCCTCTCCTAATATTGTAAAGCGCTACGGAATCTGTTGGCGCTATATAAATGGCAATAATAATAATATTAACTCCTAAGTGGCAGTGAAACTTCAGAGGCATGACCTATACACCAAAATTGCTTCAGTAGGCTAAAGTTGTTCCTTTAAGATCAGCAATTTCATACAATTGCAATAAGCAGAATATAGATATCTGGAGTCTGAAGGGCACATTCTTGGGTGGTCTACAAGGTAGATCTTAATGTACATGCTGTTGATACAGTCTTGGTCAGGTACTTATGGTCAAGTTCTTGTTTTGTAGAATCCTAATACTGATGAGCAGCTTCTTGATTTTGACTTTTTTTTTTTCAGATACTGTTAAACTGTAAATTTTAGACTTTGCTGAGTCTTGCAGTTGACACTTCGCTATGTGAATTAATAAAGGGACACTATAGTCACCAGAACAACTAAAGCTTAATGTATAGTAAACAGCTTATTGTAGTTGTTCTGGTGGGTATAGTCTGTCCCTGCAGGCTTTTTAATATAAACACGAGAGAAAAGGCAGTGTTTACATTACAGCCTAGGAACGCCTCCAGTTACCACTCCTGAGACGGCCACTAGAGGTGCTTCCTGGGTTAGTGCTGCACAGTGTACAGATACTGAACTTTCCTCATAGAGATGCATTGATTCAATGTATCTCTATGAGGAGATGCTGATTTGACCAGGGTGACATTTGTTGCCTTCCTGCTCGCCTCGTTTGCTGAGATCATCAGAAGTGACCATCTCAGCCAATCCAATGCTTTCCTATGGGGAAGCATTGTGATTAGCAGAGGCCATAAGTTCAGAGGTCAGCCAAAGGAGGGGCAGGGCTTGTACCGGTGGACTTGTGTAGTGCTGGAAATAAGGTGAGTTTTTACTATATTCAGGGGGGCTAAATAGTGGTTTTAACACTATAAAGTCAGGAATACACGTTTGTATTTAATGCTACATCACTAATTGGGAACACTAGTTTGATGGCCATTCCGTGTGTCTCCTCCTCCTTCCTGGCCCCTCCGTGTGTCTCCTTCCCTGCCCCTCTGTTTGTCTCCTCCAGGGCCCCTCCATGTGTCTCCTCCCCCTCCCAGGGGGGCTTTTCAGTTTATGCTGTTTGAAGAGGGTTTTTTGCTGACCATTTGATCTGTCTTTCTGCAGGTTTGATGATAACTTCAGCTGCTTTTTACCACATTCTGCACTTCTTCCACATCACCATTGACATCAGGAATGTGTGCGTCTTCTTGGCTCCTCTCTTCTCCTCCTTCACAACCATCGTCACATATCATCTGACAAAGGAGCTGAAAGTACGTCTTTGCTGCAAAATGAATGTCATTATATAAGCTGCCATGATTAACTTGGTATAGGACTCGAGCTGTGTTTGAGATGAACAGGCGCTAACATGCTCAGCCTATCACTGCCTGATACTTCCCCCTTCCTGCTCGTTACATTGGGGGAGCAAAGAAGGGAACAAGAATACTGCCTGGCACTCGCGGAGTATTAAACCGTTCAAACTGATCCATTTCCTATCCTTAGCTTCGTTTTCTTCATACTGCCCTATACTGCACTAAATAGGTTCTTATCAGATTCTGTAAATACATTTAAAAAGCCTTGGATGCTTTTTTGCATAAACATAATATTTACAGATATAATTGATATGTATGTAAACAGGTTGTTGATCCAAGGAGAAATCTGCCATTACATTTTTTTCCCTTTTTATGGAAATGGCAAAAATGGGGTGTTTCTGCCTTCTTTTGGATCAACAGTGTTTTAAAGAATATGTTTCCAGATTAAACTTGATGGACTTTAGTCTTTTTTTTTTTTTTTTAAGGCAGTGAGACAGCTACTAGAGGCTAGATTAACCCTCAGTGAAACATAGCAGTTTCTCTGAAACTGCTTTGTTTTCAGCTGCAGGGTTAACACTAGAGGGACCTGGCACTCAGACCACTTCATTGAGCTGAAGTGGTCTGGGTGCCTATAGTGGTCCTTTAAGTATACATTTTTACCTGAAATCATTTGTAGTGGTTATGGTGCTTAGTGTTCTTTTAAGTTAACCAAGTCTTAATGACCGAATAGAGGTGGAATGGCGAATGGGTAAAATTGGGTTTAGTCATTTGTACCCTCTGTTGATAACTAAGCACTGATTATTGCTCTGTGACGGAAGCTTGGTCTGGTGTCGTGTGCTCTGTTTTTATACAGACATTTTGTGTACAAAAATAGTGATGTTTAGACCTGTGCACAAATCCTTTAACTGCGACAAATGAATCTATTCTTGTTAAGCTAAGCCCAAAATAATTGATCTATCTCTAATTTATGAGATGGCTCAATTCGTTTAAATGTAGATTAACAGGAATTTGATTTGTATGTCACAGGTGAAGTCTAGTGATAATTATACTTCACAACGAGAGAAATCTCAATGTATCCTTCATGGCAAAATATTTTATAACTAATTAACTGCACACTCACCATTTATAAATAGCACGTTTATATGACAAAAATGTGGAACTCAACAGTTTTTATCACTCTTGCAGGACTTTATATATTTGGTTTATCGCACAGCAAAGCGGTTATTTTGTTTGCAGTTAAGATATACTGTTTGTTACTGTGTTGAATTAAGGAGCAATTGTCAAGCTGATATCCAACCTTTCTTTCTGCTCAGGATGCTGGTGCTGGCCTGTTGGCTGCTGCCATGATTGCTGTTGTTCCTGGTTATATCTCTCGGTCCGTGGCTGGATCCTATGACAATGAAGGTAAGAGAGAACAATGAACATGGAGCAGTAGGCAGACTTGGGAAAGGCTTGTGTAAGAGTCGAATGTGATGGTAAATTGTCTTGAATCCCCAGACATTACTGAGATAAAATTGGTGTCTTTCAGATAACACACGTCTTAATACACTGCCTGTCTTACAATAGGTGTACTTTATATTGAGTTGGGCTATGTTCTGTTTGTGGTGCTGACACATGAGGATTATTTTAAGTTTTCTGATTTCTTTCAAGGTATTGCTATTTTCTGCATGCTTCTCACCTACTACATGTGGATCAAGGCCGTGAAGACTGGTTCCATATACTGGGCAGCCATGTGTGCGCTGGCGTATTTTTACATGGTGGGTATTTACATCAATTTGTAATATTTCTGTATAACTTGGAGGAATTCCACAAGCATATCCAGAAATCAGAGTACTGTCAAGACAAATCTGACGTGGCTCTGGTAAAGTATGAAATCTTTTTTCTTTTTACTGAATGTAGGAACTTTTTTTTTTTGTTTGTGATCCAGGTTTCCTCTTGGGGCGGTTACGTGTTTTTGATTAATCTAATTCCTCTTCACGTGCTTGTTCTGATGTTCACTGGCCGATTTTCGCACAGGATTTACGTCGCTTACTGCACCGTATACTGTCTGGGGACCATTCTGTCCATGCAGATCTCATTTGTGGGGTTCCAGGTGAGAATGGAAAGGAATAACATGCAAATTGCTCCCTTTGTAAAACAAAACTGTTAAAGAAAAATTAAGCACCATAACTAGTACATGTGCTTCTGACCCTTGACAGTGGAGAGAGGCAGGGAGCAGTGACTACATTGGGGGGCTACCAGTTGCACTCCTGGCCCCATAACCACACATGCTTAAACACATTAAAGGAGTACATTTTTGTGTTCCCTTAAATGATCACTCTCTCTATACCACCAATCCTTGGCAGCTCGCACTAGTTAACTGTGAACCCTTGGCATGAGAGGGTTCCTTCCAGGAATGCTTAGTTTGTCTTTATTGTCCTGAAAGACAGCTACATTTGTGGGCAAGAGGGGGCAGAAGTGGTTCCTTCCTCCATCTCGGTGAACTTCTCTGCCACATATTCAGTATTTCTTATTCAAAGACTGAATGGTTTTATACAAAATATAACCACTACAGCGTTATTATAAGTGAAACTTATTGTGCCATTTTAGCTCATTGTACATGTTCTGGTGCAGTGTCGATTTGGCCAAATTATATCTCTGAGCACCTAAATACCCCATCCTTGTTCCTCTGTGGCAGCTCAGCTACGGCGGTCCAGCTTTGGGCAGCAATGATTGGCTGAGAGCTTAGGGCATCATCAATACTGTCTGAGGTAGAAAGGCTAGTGTAAATGTGGACTCCTTAACCCCTTAAGGACACATGACGTGTGACATGTCATGATTCCCTTTTATTCCAGAAGTTTGGTCCTTAAGGGGTTAAGGTGCTGAAAGAGATCAAACAGCTTGACAAAAACTGGGGTGATTCTGCCCAAAGACACTTTGCACCATAACTTGTACAATGTGATGCAGTGTTGATGGTGCTTAGGTCATTGGTCCCCAATGCAGTCCTAAAGGATTACAAACAACCTAGGTTTTCTCTGTATCTGTAGATATAATATTAATATAGCTGAACTGAGAGATTGTAAACCCTGGACTGTTAGGGCTGGCTTGGGATCCACTGGCGTACAGTGCGGCTTAAACCTCTGAAATTTGTAATTGGCCTTGTTACTGCCTGCTCACTGCTGTCAGTAAGTCTATAACAAAGTACACTTTATCCCTCGCAGCCGGTGCTGTCGTCTGAACATATGGCAGCTTTTGGTGTCTTTGGTCTGTGCCAGATTCATGCATTTGTGGATTACCTGCGGAGTAAGCTAAACCCCCAGCAGTTTGAGGTTCTGTTCCGCAGTGTCATCTCATTGGTGGGATTTGTCCTTCTTACAGTTGGTGCTGTGCTCATGCTTACAGGTAAGTGCCTGTCAGACTAGCCTACAGATAACTGGTACAGGTGTTTGGGATTGGGCCCCAAACCGAGAACCATTGCTATAGTTTCTCACTTTCTCACCCCACATGTCCCCTCCATAGTATGTGCTGGCTGCATGTAACATGCATGTGTTTATTGTCCTTAGTATGTATGTGTGTGTATGTTTTGACCCCTCCTGCTTACTTTTATGTCCCTGGATCCTTGGTGTTCGATTAGTAGAGCATGTGGACTGCACTTTAGTGTACAGTCTAGGGAACCTGACAGCTGCACCGTAAATCATTAACCAAGTATTTGGATAGCAAGGAAGCACTTGTGATAACATTTTACATGAAATGCTTCATTTTCATTTAATGTATATTAAACATTTAGCAAATGACTTCATATTCCAGTACAAACAAGGCACAGTCAGGACACACATTATAAATGAAGATGAATAAAAACATTGTTGCACATTCTAGGCACATGGCCAGGTATAAAGCATATGGAGCTAAGATGGAGGTGCCCAGTTGAAGGATAAAAGAGGTGATTTCTCCGTTTAATTTTATATTTCACATCTCACAAACACGTTTGTAAAAAATAATATAACAAATTCCGGGGACGTTACCGTTCACCTCTAAGACCTTCATAACAGGGCTTCTTTAAAGTTACAATTTTCATTATTCCTCTTTTTATAGCTTCTTGTTCTCTCCCCTCTGTTACAGTCAGTAGTAGTTGGAGACAGTTTGTTTTACCATTTGTGCAGTTAATGGTGCTTTCCCATAAATCTTTGTTTATTTCCCTTATTAATTCTGGTGACGCATTTCTGAATGATCTCTTGTATTTTAGGTAAAATCTCTCCATGGACTGGACGGTTTTACTCCCTGCTGGACCCGTCTTATGCCAAGAACAACATCCCCATCATTGCCTCTGTGTCTGAACATCAGCCTACCACATGGTCCTCGTACTACTTCGACCTGCAGCTGCTGGTCTTCATGTTTCCAGGTTTCTATTGTTTTGGCCTTTCTTACTAACCTGCTTTTTAATTATTTTCACTTTGTGCTGATTATATTTTAGAGGGATATATTCGCCTCCTCTTACTTTTTTAAGTGTTTGCATTGTTTTATTATCTGTCTGGGAATATTTTGGGGCTTTTGATTGTTTTGCTGTGTTTCGTAGTGAGGACCTGGTTTATGACTGAATTATTCTGCGTTTTTTTTTCTTTTTTCCTCTCCATAGTTGGCCTGTATTACTGCTTCAGTAACCTGTCGGATGCTCGCATATTCATTATTATGTATGGCGTGACTAGCATGTACTTCTCCGCTGTCATGGTAAGAGAGTTACCTACTTTTCTCCTTTGGACAGGTCTGCTGAGTCCGTTTTGCTCTGTGTAGGACAGGCCTATGTGTCTTAAGTATAGTTTATATCAGTTTTTCCATTAATCCTTGCTTGTCAATGCCTCACACCCTGCAGGGATAATAACGTACATTATAATTGAACACATACATAGCTTCCTTCACACCCTGCAGGGATAATAACGTACATTATAATAGAACACATACATGGCTTCCTTCACACCATGCAGGGATAACGTACATTATAATAGAACACATACATGGCTTCCTTCACACCCTGCAGGTATAACGTACATTATAATAGAACACATACATGGCTTCCTTCACACCCTGCAGGGATAATAACGTACATTATAATAGAATACATACATGGCTTCCTTCACGCCCTGCAGGGATAATAACGTACATTAAAATAGAATACATACATAGCTTCCTTCACACCATGCAGGGATATTAAAGTATATTATATTAGAATACATACATAGCTTCTTTCACACTCTGCAGGAATTGCATTTCTTTATGGTAAAAGGAGAGGTAAATATTTTTTCTGTTAAAATCTGTGGCGGCCTGCTCCTAGGTGACTGTAGTGTTGCCGCCAAGGACTCCCTTTCCCTCTTAGTGATTAGCTCCTGAATGAATATAGCCCATCCCTAGTCATTTGCCAAGGATTAATGTAAGGATGAAACAAGTGTGAATGTTGCATTTTTATACCTGGGTTGCCAGGAGAACAATATATGATGGTCCAGGCACTGAAGGTAAACCCAAAGTGAGCAGATTTATTGGAGCAGATGAAGGCAAAGTGTCATCCCACAACATCACCTTTGTCAAGCTTGCTTCGAGCATCCTCTGATTCGAAGTAGAGTTTCACAGTGCTGGGTGGAATGTCATAGTCACTTTTGCTGACTGGGCTCTCAGTCGATCCATTCAGATCCCTCTAGTCCTTGGTGGTGTTCGATACCTCACCACCTCCGCTTTCATCCCTCCAAATTGTTCTCTGTTTGGTGGTCTTGGGACCTAAAGCGACTTTCATAAGGTTTGACCTGATCGCAGCAACTCCGCAATCCGCTCTGAAGTTCCAGGAGATTTGTGAGTTGCTCCCAGTCAGGCACGCCATGCCTCTGCGAGTTTCCCACTGGTCTCTGGGAGGCACAATCTGGAGAGGGGAAGAGTGTGTGAAAATAGTCTCTTTGGGAGAAGAGATAGGAGCTCTGTACAAGTCCTGGGTGACGGAGTGGTCTGTCACAAAATCCTTATCCACAAATCGTATTTGAAGGTTCTGTAAATTTTACATGGCTGTTGCCCTGGCAATTCTCCTGAATCACAGATATGCGGTGGCCCCTGGCCGATTTGCAGTATCCCAGTCTCCTTCTGTCTTGCTTTTATAACGTCCGAAATGTTGGGTTAATTAGTTCATATTTCAAGACCTATATTTTATAGTCTCATCCTTTCTCTTCTAGGTGCGTCTGATGCTGGTTCTGGCTCCAGTCATGTGTATCCTGTCTGGTATTGGGGTATCTCAGGTACTATCAACTTACATGAAGAACCTCGATATAAGCCGCCCTGACAAGAAAACAAAAAAACAGCAAGATTCCACCTACCCAATAAAAAATGAGGTGAGTCCCCACTAAGCAATGTCCCGTTTGAGCACCACCACTAAAAACTAACAATAACATTGCCGTTATTTATCTGTCCTTGGTCCCCTTCTATTATCTCTTTTTACTGCCTCTCTTGGCAAACTTATTACCTCATTTGGATTCCAATACCACCTGTACACTGATGACACCCAGTTATATCTCCCCTGCCGTCCTGCAACGTGTCACTGCTTGCCTTTCTTCCATCTCTGACTAGATGTCCTCCTGCTTTCTGAAACTTAATCCCTCTAAAACTGAGCTCCTTGTCTTTCCTCCTCCTAATACTGATCCTCCTCTTTCGCTCTCCCTTCAAGTTAGTGGTATCCACATAAGTCCATCCTTGCAAGCGCGCTGTCTTGGCGTCATACTTGATTCTGGCCTCACATCCAACATGTAAGTCCTGTAGATTCCATCTTACGCAAGATGCTACTAGGGAGCTTGTCCATGCTCTTGTAATTTCCTGCATGGATTATTGTAACCCTCTCCTAATTGGTCTTCCCAAAAACTGTATTGCCCCACTACAGTCTGTAATAAATGCCGCCGCCGCCAGACTGATTTTCCTCTCTAGTCGGTCCTCTCACACCCCTGTCAGTCCTTACATTGTCTTCCTGTATCCTATAGGAGTCAATTCAAAGTGCTAACTAACCCATACATATAAAGCATTGACCAATTCTAGCCCCTCTTAGATCTCTTCACAGATCCATAGGTATGCCCCTTCTCTGTCTCTCCGCTCTGCCCATGACCTCCTGTCCGCTGCTCGCACCCGTACAGCCAACTCATGCTTGCAGGACTTCTCGCGGGCGGCTTCCATCCTATGGAAAAGCCTGCCTACCGTCATCAGACTCTCCCCTAGTCTTCAATCATTTGAGAAGAGCCTTAAAATCCATCTCTTTAGGAAAGCTTATGGCCTCCCAGAGTAACATCTACCTTACATACCTGTCTCTTGCTCTCTCCTATAGGGCAGTGCTTTACTCTCTCCCCCAGCTCTGCTTCACTCCCACCTTATTTAGATTGCTATTTCCTGTCCTAATGTGTGTTATACCCCACCTCCTATAGACTGTAAGCTCGTTTTAGCAGGGTCCTTTTCAACCTACTGTTCCTGTAAGTTTTCTTGTAATTGTCCTATTTATAGTTAAATCCCCCCTCTTATAATATTGTAAAGCGCTACGGAATCTGTTGGCGCTATATAAATGACAATAATAATAATAATAATAATAATAGTCCAGTCGAAATAAAGAAGAGTACCACCTGATCAAAACTGGGCCATTTTAGACCTCAATTTAATATTTTTGGATAATTTAATTGTTTAGTTTATCCAAAAATAGTAAATCTGAGGCCTAGCTGCTTAGATTAGATACTGGTTACTGCAGTGAAATTGTATAAATTTAGTCTATGTGTAGATAAAGCAGGACTTTTCTAAGAGAACTTTCTTTTTTAAGGGGGGCTGCGCAGATCCCATGTATTACATTGGATATTGATTGTCATTGTTACCTCTGCCACTTCCTCCTCCGTTAAAGCATGTCTCTGTATATTGTGGTGTTCTTTGTCTTTACATTCTTTTTATAATTTAGTTTTACAGACATGGTCCGCAGCATTCTAAACTATGTGTGTGTTTGTTTTTAAGCTTTGAGTTGTGCAGTGCTATTTCCAATCGTGTATTTTCCTCCTGTACAGGTCGCCAGTGGCATGATTCTGGTCATGGCTTTCTTCCTGGTCACTTACACATTCCATTCCACATGGGTAACAAGTGAGGCTTATTCTTCTCCGTCCATCGTGCTGTCTGCCCGGGGTGGGGACGGCAGCCGGATCATATTCGATGATTTCAGAGAGGCTTATTATTGGCTGAGACACAATACTCCAGAGGTAAGAATCTACATCCACTATTGCTGGAGGTATATCTCTCTGACCTGTGTATAGAGGGCACATGTTGATGTAGCCAGTGCCAGATTTCCCATTAAACAGAGTAGGCACCTACCTACAGCCACCTTTCCTCTATGGGGTGTATGTGTTCACCTTATAAAGTGCTTTTTGGAGCCTTAGTGGTCTGGGGAGGGGGAGATAAGTACCAGGAGCTTTGGCCAGTGTCCTCTGTACTCCAGTACTTCACTAACCGCCTCTCACACAGGAAATGCCTTGCAGGAGGAACAGGGATAGCAGTGAGTGATGCACACTGTATAACAGTTACAGCAGCTCTAATATAATACATTTTTTGGAAGGTGCGTGCTTTGCAAATAGCCATTGAAACTCTAAACACCATTTTTTTCCCCTTTAACCTACATTTGATCCCTTCTAAAACCTAAACAAACTCTTTCCTTAGTCCCATATATAAGCACTCAAAAAATGTTTTTTGCCTTAATCCGAGGTTTAACAATCTTTAAATGTGTAGATTGGATTAGCCGTATTAGTCCCATAGACAAGATGCCAAAATACCAAAGTATTCCAGTATGCGATAATATTTCAAAGATGGGCTTTCGAGATTTTTCCTCTCTCCCTCATGTCTGAAGCAAAACCTACCAGATTGATCAGTATTAAGTGTTTAACTCTACCAGATTGATCAGTGTTGCTTCAGACCTGAGGAAGAGTGGTAAACTCTTGAAAGCTTGTCTTTGAAATATTATGTTAGTCCAATAAAAAAAGTTATCATTGCATACTGCAATACTCTGGGATTTTGGCATGTATAATACACACACACACACACACAGTGTTGTCAATTTTGAGCTCATGTGTTTTAGTTTTTTGCCTGTGATTTTGCTCACCGTATCTGCCTTTTATTTGAGGTGGGATAGGGATCTGCAGCAGGGAGTGACTTAGAATTTTGACATTAATCTGGCCGTGGGTGAAGTGGTGCCTTTAGTCCAAAGGAACCATAACTACTGTGATTGCATGTAGTGGTTATGGTGCTACTTTTAAATGCAGTTCAGTCCACGAATGCAAGTTTTCAGCTCTCTCTGGTCTTTCACCTTGTGTACTTGGGGTTCAGGCTATGCTGATTGTTGTTCATTATTACACTGTTACATTGCTCTGTTTTGATAATTTTGTATTCTCAGGATGCAAAAGTGATGTCATGGTGGGATTATGGTTATCAGATAACTGCAATGGCGAATCGAACAATCTTAGTGGACAATAATACATGGAATAACACCCACATCTCCCGTGTAGGACAGGTAAGACCAGCTCCCAGTTTAACCCTTTCCAGTCTTTGATGGATCAGCCTGTGAAAATTTTTAATCTCTTGTCCCCCCCAAAAAAGGTAAATCTAATAGAGTAGTAATTGTGCTCATTCGTTTAAATTCACTAAACAGTGAATTGCAGGGACATGCAAAATTCAGACTTAACGTTTTCCAACTTGTCTGTATTCCAAAAAAAATTTTAATTCAGTTTTCAGATTACTTTTAACTTTCATGCAGAAAATAAGGCTTTTCTTGCCCTCTTGTTTGAAGATTAGAGCGTGATTTCTGAAGAGATTCTGTACCATGCATGCTGTTACTGAGATCCTGTTTTTTGCAGGCGATGGCGTCCACAGAAGAGAAAGCGTATGAGATCATGAGGGAGCTGGATGTTAGCTATGTGCTTGTGATATTCGGTGGTCTCACAGGATATTCTTCTGATGGTAAATTGTGTATATACATATATATGTGTGTGTGTGTGTGTGTTTTATATTCGTCATTTGTGAGTGAAATATGCCATGGACCCACCAGGCTTGCAATGGCAGGCTGGCTTGTAGTGTAGGACTTGCAAGAGGTGTGTTTGTGGGTGTTTCTCCCCTCCCCTTTTTTTTTTTTAATTGGAGTGTATTGGAGTAGACACTTGCAGAAATTAAATAAAGCATTTTTATATGACCAGGAAGCTGTGTTTAGTCAATTCACACCAGACACCCTGCACATTTATTAACTTTGTTCTTCTAATCTCCTTTTCATAGATATCAATAAATTTTTGTGGATGGTGAGAATCGGTGGCAGCACAGATACTGGTAAACACATCAAAGAGCACGATTACTACACTTCAACAGGGGAATTCCGTGTGGACAGAGAGGGATCACCAGTACTTCTGAATTGCCTGATGTACAAGATGTGCTATTATCGATTTGGCCAGGTCTACACAGAGGCCAGTAAGTGGAGGCAGAGCTGTTATTGCTATTAAAAACATATTAATCCTTGTGGGTACTGCTCACAGGCTGCAAGCACTTTTCAAACTCCAGAATTATTTTCAAGATACATTGTGGGGTCAGAATCCCTCTGTAAATTACAATGTTTTAATGCTGACTATTGTACCATAAAGCGGCAAACTTTGAATACCATCAAACTATTTATGCTGATTCCATTGTTTGCATCGAGACTTGGTATTGCTGTCAATCACTGGTGGAAGTTATATTCACAGTGGATGATGTGTGCCATGAGTGAACTCTGTATATCTGCTTTTATAGTGTATTGAATCTACTACTTTTTCTCCTGCAACAGAACGTCCACCAGGGTACGATCGGGTGAGGAATGCGGAAATTGGAAATAAAGATTTCGAGCTTGATGTTCTGGAGGAAGCTTACACCACAGAGCACTGGCTGGTCCGAATATACAAAGTATGTTGTATAACAATAGCATATTATCAATTATCTTTTCCAAAGCGGTTCAATTTGACTGTCAGTATGTGAATTCAGATCCAGAAGGTAGATTTATTATTTTGGTTGGCTTGTTAGATGGGATGGAGTATACATTAGTAAACTTTTATTTCCCTAATAAAAATCCGATTAATACTTTGACAAAAATTTTAAGATTTGTAGATCGAGTTAAAAAAGGGAAATTGATGATTTCAGGTGATTTTAATTGTATACTGGATCCCTCAATAGACAAACAATTGAACTCAGGTCAAACGATTGATAAAAACTTACTAAAACAAGCAGCCTCGATAAATAGAACTATTAAACAAATATGAATTGTATGATTGATGGAGATTACTCCACCCTAATGATAAAAATTACACACACAGATCTATCCCGCATAAGTCAACAGCTAGAATTGACCTGATCCTAGGGGATATTAAATTATCTAATGCTATCTCGTCAATTATAATTAAAGATAATACATGGTCAGATCATGACCTGCTGATAGCAGAAGTGTTGGATAGGAAGAATAGATCTATGATTTGGAAACTTAACAATATGCTATTGAAGAATAAGGCTAATACTGATTATATTGCAAATCTAATGTAGTTATTTTTCAAAAAAAATGTAACCCCAGAATTGTCTAATGAATGTGTATGGTGTTCTTTTAAGACAGTCATAAGAGGATACTTGATTAAAGGACCACTCTAGGCACCCAGACCACTTCAGCTTAATGAAGTGGTCTGGGTGCCTGGTCCAGCTAGGGTTAACCCATTTTTTAATAAACATAGCAGTTTCAGAGAAACTGCTATGTTTATGAATGGGTTAAGCCTTCCCCTAATCCTCTAGTGGCTGTCTCATTGACAGCCACTAGAGGCGCTTGCGTGCTTCTCACTGTGATTTTCACAGTGAGAACGCATAGCGTCCATAAAAGCATTGTAAATGCTTTCCTATGAACAAACTGAATGCGCGCAGCTCCGCTTGGCGCATTTATTCAGCGGAGGAGGAGAGGAGGCAGAGAGCTCTCCAGGCTGGAAAAAGGTAAGTTTAAACCCCTTTCCCCTTCCAGAGCCGGGCGGGAGGGGGTCCCTGAGGGTGGGGGCACCCTCAGGGCACTATAGTGCCAGGAAAACGAGTATGTTTTCCTGGCACTATAGTGGTCCTTTAAAATAGCTAGCCAATACAAAAAGCCAATACAAAAATAAGAGAGTCAAAGCTATCAGAGTTATATATTGAATTCTATAATCTATCTACAGCAAATAAAATCAACTTCTCTTCTGAGAGAGCAGGCAAGATTAAAGAAATCCAAGAGAAGATCAATAAAGAAATATCTGAAAGAATAGAACACAATTTAAATAAATTAAATATCAAATTTTGCTACAAGAATAATAAAGCTGATGCTACGCTAACTAACAAATTAAAGAAACAAAATTTGGAAAAGAAAATTTTCAAACTAGTGGTTGATGATAAGAACATCCTCAAACCTGAGGATTTAGCCAAAAGCTTCAGAGATTTTTACAAAAAGCTTTATAATTTAACCCCTTAAGGACCAAACTTCTGGAATAAAAGGGGATCATGACATGTCACACAACTTTAGCCCGGAAAAGGAAGATGTAGAGAACTATCTAATGAATATTAAATTACCTAAAATCTCGTTGGATCAGAAGCAAAGTCTAAATAAGACTAAATCTAATGAAGACGTAGAACAGGCAATAAATAATCTTGTAAACAAAAAAGCTCCGGGACCGGATGGATGTTCTAATCTATTTTATAAAACCTTCAAAAAACAAATCATTCCCATACTTTCAGTCACTTTTAACTAAATCGCAGGCAAAAGCCAAGCTTCTTATGATTTACTAAGAGCCCATATCTTCCCGAAATTGAAACCGGGTAAATCCTCTATGTTCATCTCATTGATAAACGTGGACATTAAGTTATTCGCTGCTATATTAGCGGCTAGACTACAAAAAATTCTCCCGTCCATTATTCACCCCGATCAGATCAGTTTTATTTCGGGGAGGCAGTCTAGTAATAACTTTCGAAGAATGTTGGAGATCATTGACTGGGCTCGGAATAAGGGGACACCCCTGTCGGTAGATCCCGAGAAAGCCTTCGACAGGGTCGGATGGGGCTTCCTCAGTAGGACTATGTCACTCTTTGGATTTGAGGGTTGGTTCATGGGAGCAGTGGGGGCACTTTACTCAAACCTCTCAGCTAGGATAGTGGGACGGGATGTTCTGATATCTCTAATGGCACACGCCAGGGATGCCCACTTTCTGTTATACGTTCTATCAATTGAACCATTTGCCTGTAAAATAAAAGGGATAGCTATCCCTGGAGATGAATTAAAGATCTGCCTTTATGCAGGCATACTTATGTCTATATCTGAGCCTAGATCCTCTCTCTACCAATTTTTTGTAATTTTTTTTTTTTTTATAAATTCTTTATTTTTATTGGTTTTTGTATAATGTGGGGAAGGGATTACAGAAAGAAGTTGGGATGAAACATTAGTTTTACATATAACATTTTGTAACAGTTTTAATAATTCAGGTATTGATATTCTCGTTGAGCTGTCGTGCCTAGGTTACATCAGTCTTCTTGGGTGGTGTTTGACATGAGTTTGTAGTACCCAATTCTAGGAAGGCCTGGGGGTCAGGAAAGGTGGGTTCGGGCAGCGGAGGGGGCGGGTGTCTGATGAGGATAGAGGCTCTCTACCAATTTTGATGCAAGAGTTTGAAAAATATAGCTTGGTCTCAAACTACAAATTAAATGTCAATAAATCAACAGCCTTAGTAAATAACGTCCAAGACACGACTTTACAAATATTGAAGCAAACCTATGACTTTAATTGGCCCACAAAAGGAGTTTGCCTACCTCGGACTAATGTTAACTGCTGATCCTAGAAGGTATATGGAATTAAATTTTATGAGACTACTGAAAGAAACGAATAGATTATGGAGATCACATGAGATCTCATGGTGGGGAAGGATTAATACCATTAAAGCTTATATAACTCCCAAGTGGACTTACCTGTTCCGCATGATTCCTCTCCACATATCTGCGCACTGGCTTAATATGGTTCAAAGTAGTTTTACAAATTATATTTGGAGAGGAAAAGAGCCAAGCATCAACAGTTTCGCTATCAAAAAAAAAGATGCGATGGAGGTATTGGTTACCCATTAATAAGTCAGTCATACCAGGCTAACATGGTAATACATGCTACTAATCTCCAAAGGACTGACTCAGTGGACCAGCCATGGTATAAGCTACAAGCTCATAGAATAAGATGGGATAATTTAGAACCACTTTTATGGAAGAAATAATATCAATAATAATATCAAATTAAAAACTATAACAGAAAATTACTCTTTAATATTATTTCAAACACTAAGGGAATGGAAAAGCATAAAGAGAAAACTTAAAGGACCACTATAGTGCCAGGAAAACATACTCCTTTTCCTGGCACAATAGTGCCCTGAGGGTGCCCCCACCCTCAGGGTCCCCCTCCCACAGGTCTGGATGGCGAGGAAAGGGGTTAAACTTACCTTTATTGCAGCGCCGGGCGGGGAGCTCTCCGCATCCGATCCTCCTCGTCAGCTGAATGCGCATGCGCGGCAGGAGCTGTGCGCGCATTCAGCCGGTCTCATAGGAAATCATTTACAATGCTTTCCTATGGACGCTTGCGTGTTCTCACTGTGATTTTCAGTGAGAAGCACACAAGCGCCTCTAGCGGCTGTCAATGAGACAGCCACTAGAGGATTTGGAGGCTGGATTAACTCATTTATAAACATAGCAGTTTCTCTGAAACTGCTATGTTTATATAAAAAAAGGGGTTAATCCTAGAGGGACCTGGCACCCAGACCACTTCATTAAGCTGAAGTGGTCTGGGTGCTTAGAGTGGTCCTTTAATATTGAAAACGTAATCCCGGCTACACTATCTTTAAAATATTTGTAATATATTATAACACAAATTGATCTTAAAAACTGGCACAAAAATAATATTCGGATTAACGATTTATACTGACCGACATTTGAAAAGCTATACTGAGCTATCTATTTTACTAGATTTACCATCAAATTTAATTACCTGCAGATAAAGTTTTTTGAGAGAACATATCCTAACTGGGCACGATAATCTAGGATCTTTAATTAATGGAGTTCTATCGGTTAAGCCCTCTAAACATTACTATGCCAAAGCACTTGAGGCAAGAAAATCAACTGGTCGCCCTAATACCCCAATGGCACTTACGAAATGGGAATCTGATTTATCCTCAGATATACAATATACTTTATGGTGCCAAGCATTTATAAAGCTCAAAAAATATATCCACTGTTTAAATATCCTCGAGACCTATGTAAAAATATCTTATAGATGGTACTTAGTTCCTATAAGACTTAACAAAATCTCTCTAAGTAATCTCCCAAATTGCTGGAGATGTCGCATAGATGGTTCAATGTTACATATTTGGTGGAATTTCCCAGAAAATTATCCCATTCTGGGATTTATCTTTTGAACTAATAAATAAGATAGGAGCAGTAACATTAGAGAAAAAAACAGAAATTGCACTATTACATCTACATGGGAAAGAAGACAGTAAAAAAGCAGAGATTTTAATAATACATTGCCTTATGGCAACAAAGATACTAATTGCGAAAGGTTGGAAACAAACTAATATACCATCTAAGCTACATTATAAAGCCCAAGTGTTAAAACAACTAGAGATGGAATTAGGTGTTATTTTTTTATAATCCTTACACTAATCGTAAATCTCTCGACTTATATAAAAGTCTGATCGTAGATATTAAGTAGTTTTGATAGAAACAAAGCATCCGATCAATATTATAATTTAGACTTTATAAGTTATAGAGACCGAAATATTGTCAAGGGAAACATCTACTAATATGCCTATATTAGATATCACGATGGCTTGACTATATTTACTAAGATTATAAATTGCTGATTAATGTACTCTAGAACTTTATTGGCTACCATATTCGGTTAGAGTAGCGACATATGACAACTCTCCTTCTTTTCCCCCTCTTCTTTAAATCTTAATAATCTAAGTTTGATAGATTGTATGGTGTTCTGATCCTGCTAAACTGAAAGGAAAGATAATGCTATATAACTCTATTACTCCCACTTCAAAGTTACATTTCAACTGACTTAGAAGACCAAAAATATGTTTGAATGATTGTATGATTTGCTTAGGATGAGTGAAGGCCATACAAAGTGTAATTATAAAAAAGAATGTGATATCCTATTTAGATGTACTTAAATGTTTATTGGAAAATTGCGCCTCCTTTATAATATTGCTGCTATTATAATACTAACATAATGGAGACCGTGTATGTTACTTACATATGGAAAAGAAAGGGGAGAGAAAAAAAAAGTAATTGTTATGTATTGGCCTTTTGAATGCATTGGGCTTTGTAAGAGCCGTCTTTGTACGTATTAATTGTTTCAAAAATTTAATAAAAATAAGTAAAAAAATATAAACAATAGCATGTGTGATACTGGCTTTACATTGTCTGCGCTGCATGCCATTAGCTTAAAGGGACATAATGAGCATCTGTAATTGCATTATATAGATTAATGATATCCAAATGCAAGTGCCCCTGGACTTTGCAACTTCTGCTGTGAGCTGTCCTCAAACCAAGCACTGTTTAGCTACTCCCATAGACAGTGCTTTATTGCCACACCAAGGGTTTCTGGGAGATGTAGAAAGCCAACCACTGGACTACCTCAGCAAGGTGCCAAATGAACTACAACTCGTCAAAACAAAGCAGTGTACAGGAGTGTACACACAGGCAGAAATGTTGGACTACTGTAGTAAAAAAAAATGTAAAAAATTGCATAACGAAATGTAACTTTATTTACACATTTCAACATAGTGTGGGATACTGCACAACATTAGATTAAATGTTCCCTGCTCTGTATAACAGATCTAACCGGTTGCCTTTCTTTTCCAACAGGTTAAAGATCTGGATAATCGTGGATTGTCAAGAACATAATTTTGCCTTTAGCTTTCATACAAACAGCACTGAACGCCTTCACCTGTGAACTCTGAGATTTTTTTTTATACCGTTTCTATTGACCGACAGATATAGAAGTAATTGGCCGCCGAGTCACGCTGGTTGCTCTCCATATGTGGTGGGATGGTTGTTATGAATGTTACCAAAATGATTTTTTTGTTTGTTTTGACTTTAAAGTGGTCGATTAAAGATGGGATAAAAACTGTTTTTCTAATCACTAGCGTTATTTCAGCTGATTGGAACACTTTATCCAGCCAGCGAAGTGTTGACCAAACTTGTACAGTATTAACATGATTGACATCCTGAGATATTTGGATGAGATATGAACACATAACAAGCCCATTCTGCACCTAGTTCTCAAAGCAAGCCCAACCTTTGTTAAAGGAATACTCTAGTGTCAGGAATGCAATCATGTTTCCCTGACACTATAATGCTGGAGTGGCTACACTCTTGATGATCTCAGCCAATCCAATGCTTTCAAATAGCATGTGCGGCAAAACACTGTGCCAATCAGCATCTCCTCAGATTAATTGAATCAGTGCATCTCTATGGATGAAGTCTAGCTTCTCCAGGCTGAAAATCAGTGCTGCACAATGTGCATCACTGGACTAGGGAGCATCTCGGGGTGTTCCAAGGCAGCAATGTAAACACTGCCTTTTATTTGAAAAGGCAGCATTTTCATTGCTCAGCCTGCAGGGACAGGCTGTTGACACCAGAACCACTACATTAAACTGTGACTATAATGATGTCTCTTTAAGTGAAGCTGCCATTAGTAAAATCAGTGCTGAAGGATGCATTTCATTTAAAGTTGTGTTTGAAAAACAATATAAAATGTATAGACTGGACATTTTTATCATATGGCAATTACATCTAATTCTCCAAAATGGACCGATCGTTTTATTTATATTTCCTCATTAACCTCCTCCTCTGTGATATTAATCCCTTGAGGACCAATGACGGCTCAGCACCATGATCAGAAACATCCCCTTGAGGACTGATGACGGTCCTGAACATTCATAATTACTTACCCGATCGCCGCCGTTCCCTTGCTGGCGATCGGCGTTGCTCCTGGTCTGGGGGGACTGCCTGACAGCCCAGACAGTCCCCCCTCAGCAAATTGGGCCCCCGCGGGCCATGTGATCGCTGGAAAATAAAAATGTTAGTAAATAAACTAAAAAAATAATATATACACACTGAACAAAATTATAAACGCAACACTTGTTTTTGCCCCAATTTTTCATGAGCTGAACTCAAAGATATAAGACTTTTTCTATGTACACAAAAGGCCTCTTTCTCTCAAATATTGTTCACAAATCTGTCTAAATCTGTGTTAGAGAGCACTTCTTTTTTGCTGAGATAATCCATCCACCTCACAGGTGTGGCATATCAAGATGCTGTTAGACAGCATAATTATTGCATTATTGATGTGCCTTAGGCTGGCCACAATAAAAGCACACTCTAAAATGTGCAGTTTTATCACACAGCACAATGCCACAGATGTCAAACATTTTGAGGAGTGTGCAATTGGCATGCTGACTGCAGGAATGTCCACCAGAGATGTTGCCCGTGAATTGAATGTTCATTTCTCTACCATAAGCAGTCTCCAAAGGCATTTCAGAGAATTTGGCAATATATCCAACCGGCCTCACAACCACAAAGCACATGTAACCACACCAGCCCAGGACCTCCAAGATTGTCTGAGACCAGCCACCTGGACAGCTGCTGTAACAATCTGTTTGCAAAACCAAAGAATTTCTGCACAAACTGTCAGAAACCGTCTCAGGGAAGCTCATCTGCATGCTAGTCATCCTCATCGGGGTCTCGACCTGACTGCAGTTCGTTGTGGTAAACATCCCAGTTCTTGCATGGCCAGCATTCTCACCGGACATGTCACCCATTAAGCATGTTTGGGATGCTCTGGATTGGCGTATAAGACAGCGTGTTCCAGGTCCTGCCAATATCGAGCAACTTTGCACAGCCATTGAAGAGAAGTGGACCAACATTCTACAGACCATATTTAACAACGTGATCAACTCTATGCAATGGAGATGTGTTGCGCTGTGTGAGGCAAATAGTGGTCACACCAGATACTGACAGGTTTTCAGACCCCACCTAATACAGTAAAACTGCACATTTTAGAGAGGCCTTTTATTGTGGCCAGCCTAAGGCACACATGTGCAATAATAATGCTGTCTAATCCGCATCTTGATATGTCACACCTGTGAGGTTGATGGATTATCTCGGCAAAGAAGTGCTCACTAAAACAGATTTAGACAGATTTGTGAACAATATTTGAGAGAAATAGGCCTTTTGTGTACATAGAAAAAGTCTTAGATATTTGAGTTCAGCTCATGAAAAATGGGGCAAAAACAAAAGTGTTGCGTTTATAATTTTGTTAAGGCTTGATTTTCCATTTTTTACATTGAAATTTGCCAGATTGGTTATGTTGCCTTTGAGAGCGTATGGTAGCCAAGGAATGAGAATTATTCCATGATGGCATACCATTTGCAAAATAAGACAACCCAAAGTATAACAAATGGGATATGTTCAGTCTTTTTTAGTAGCCACAAACACTGGCCAAAAGTTAGCATTCATAATTGTTTTTTGCATTTTTAACACACAAATATAAATGCTAACTTTGGCCTGTGTTTGTGACTAAGTGGCTACTAAAAAAAGACTGGACATACCCCATATTGAATACCCTGGGTTGTCTACTTTAAAAAATATATGTACATGTGGGGTGTGATTCAGAGATTTATGACAGATGTGTTACAATGTCCCTATTGATAAATGTTAGAAATATGTATTTTGAAACCGCAATGTCCTACTTGTACTTATAGCCCTATATCTTGCAAAAAAAAAGCACGTAAACACTGGGTGTTTTTAAACGCAGGACAAAATGTTGAATCTATTTAGCATTTTTTTTTTCATTAGCTTTTGTAGAGGAGTAAAAGATTTTTCAAGTAAGTCAAAAAACATTTTTTTTATTTAAATTTTTCAGCATTTTATTTTTGTTTTTACAGTAAATTGACATGATACAAATAATGGTATGTAAAGAAAGCCCTTCTTGTCCGGGAAAAAAAAACTATATAACTTGTATGGGAACAGTAAATGAGAGCGAGAAAAATTACATCTACACACAAACACCACAAAAGTGTTAAAACAGCCCTGGTCCTTAACGTACAACATGGCCAAAACAGGCCGGTCCTTAAGGGGTTAAAGGGTGGTAGTGTTTAGGTTGACCATGTGACATAACGCCTATGTCTCACAAACACTCAGTACTCTGACACATAACATAACCAGTATCTTTATGGAATCCACCTCAACGTGTACCCACATGGCATCTGATTACATGCGGATTTTACACCTCTCTCTTCTAGCAGTTTGACAATTCATTTATGGTTTCAAAGCTGAGCACATCTGGTGTGTAGCCAGTGTCAATAGGTGGATGTAACGGTATAAGCCGCAGTCTGTTTTATTAATTTATAAAGTGATATCCCATGAGATAAAGAATGTATCATCATGCACAATACATGGCACCAACATAATCTGTAACACCGTACAATTTGCTTATAAATTTTCATGTTCTCTGAACATGTGTTTAGTAAAGTGTGATAATTTTATAGGACATGTTTATATCTTCCATTTAATTACTGCTGGAAACTGTCTATTTTGGGCCCGAGCACAATCCCTGCCTTCCTATCCCCGGGTGTTGCATAACGTGTGCCTGCTTTTGGGGCCCCTAGAGCAGTACCAGACAATTCTGTCTTGTTGGCTGCAGATTATATCTTGCACATTTAATAGGAAATACAGCAAAATAAGTGGAAATTGTACTGGATTATATTTCAATAAGTAAGCGGTTTAGATAACTAGAACTGTAGAGTAAAGTTCTCACACTCTCTTTATATTCTATATATTTAGTTAGACCCAAGAGCATGTTGTAAGTCCCCATCTAGCTGTAATAGAGAGTCACGTTTCCCAAATCGCTGTGCTGCCCTAGGATCTGTCAATACATTACTCTCTGTTGCCAGGGATTCAAATGATGCTCGTGGTGTTACCATGGCAACCAGTCCATCAATTGCAAAATCAGCTCAGTCCATCAATTACAACACAGAACACAACATATTCTGCGTTAGACTCATAACACTGTTAAAGCAACACGTCAATGGGGAAGGAATTGCTGTTACAATAAACCGCATATTCCTGGACAAACCACGGCAGCATCACTTAAGGGTTAGCTTTGTCCACTTGGCTGATAAGGACAGGATGTAAAAATGCCCCCCATCCCTCCCTATCAGAATGTCAGTCTTTTTCCTGTTCTTTGACTGCATGGACACAGTTATCCGTGAGAACATTTAGTTTTTACCTTAGTTTACCTTGCCCGTTTTTTTTATTTGGCTTTTTTAAGAGTTCAGCCGTTCTCTCTTATTAGCCCCTGGTATGCAGCTCCCTGGGGTATGAAAATAACCTGTAGTTTAGGTTTCCTCCTTGCAACCACTATGACCCTGCCTGCCAGCGGTATTAGGAAGTGACAGCCTTAACAAGCCCATTTAGTTCTTACCTCAAAACTTGAGAAGCTCTTGGTAATATGCTTTAACATTGAGGTCACCGCCCCTTTGGATTAATAGATTTAGGAATTCTTGCAATCTGGTTTAGATAAGGGCCTGTCCCTCTGTTCTCTCAGAGTCCAAATATCAGCCATTTCAGTGATGTCTGGCTTTAAATGGCCCTTGAATCCTTTGGTCTCCAGATTTCTGATGGCAGTCAAAAACCAGACTCTGCCTGTGAAGGATTTTACTCCTAGATGGGACATTCCTCTGGTCCTTAGGGCCCTGTCTAAGTCTATGTTTGCACCAATGCAGGACACATCTCTTTGGTTACTGACTTTGAAATGTTTCTTTTTGGTGGTGACTACATCTGACAGAACAGTCTCTATGAAATCCAGGTGGTCTCATCTCAGGATCCTTTTATTTCCTTTTTTCCTGACAAAGTGGACCTTGTACCTTGCTGCCAATTCATCCTTAAGACATTTGTTCAATTAACGTTAAAGAGGAGGTGGTCCTTCTTACTTTTCCATCTCCTGCTCCGGAGGAGTAGGACTGACATTCTTTAGATGTTACAAGATGTCTCAATTTACTTGGAAAGGTCTAAAGCCTAGAAGCAGGGATAGGTAACCTTTGGCACTGCAGACATTTTGGACTACACCTCCCATGATGCTTTGCCAACATTATGGCTGTAAGAGCCAAAGGTTGCCTACCCCTGTACTAGAGGAAGTATACACATCTTCCTTCTGGATCTTGCAAGGTTCAAGCTACCTCAATTGCAACAATTTTTTGATGGATCGTTAAGGCTATACTCAAAGCCTACAAGGTCCAGGAGCTACAGATGCCTAGGGGTTCATCCACATTCTATTAGAGCTATGTCAACCTTTTGGGCAGTTGTAGCGAACATGTCTTTGGAGAGCATTTGTAGAGCGGTCAACTGGTATTCTTCCAATACTTTTATCTCTCATTATGCCTTGGATGTTTGGGCTGACAGTCTTTCTAAATCTATTTTGTGTTTTACATTATCTTGGAGGTGGTGTTTTTTTTTTTTTCATTCTCTTCCCTCCTGTTTCTGCTAGCTTGAGTGTGAGCTTGGGTAAAACTTGGTCACGGAGTGAGTATGACCTGGGGTAAAATTTGGACACTGAGTGAGTGTGAGCTTGGGTAAAACTTGGTGACTGAGTGTGAGCTGGGTAAAGCTTGGACACTGAGTGTGAGCTGGAGGTGAAGTTGGAATACTGAGTGTGAAGATGGGACCCAGTGAGTGCAAATTGGGGGAAGCTTGGACTCAGTGAGTGTGAGTTGAAGTA